TTGCACTCCAGCCTGGACAACAGAGGGAAACTCCGTCTCAAAAAAAAAAAAAAAAAAAAAAAGGAAAAGAAAAAAGGAAAAAGGAGCCTGATGCAGAGGGGCCTGTTGGAGAGCAAGGGGGCATCCCTAAGGCTGAATCCTTTCCGCCTCTGCAGGTGGAGACACAGGTGAACACCAGGACTCCACAGGGGAGTCCCAGCCTGGGGAGGGCAGGAGAAGGGGAAAATCACACCCAACTGAGTCCCCCAGCTCTTACCCTCGGTAGGTGCCCACCCTGTGCTGGGCACTTTGTAAAAGATGCAATTCCATCCCCCAACTCATTCTGCCCCTCAGGATCACCAAGGTTCAGATGCCTGGGTTCAAATCCTCACTCCGGCCAAGAGGAGTTAAAACTCTGTGTGCCTCAGTTTCCTCCTGTGTGAAGTGCAGACAATAGTCCAGGCAGGGAGGCTCACGGTGCTCTCTCCAGTGTCAGCTCCAGAGGAGGCTGAGGGAGAACTCCTCACCCAGCGCAGCCTGTGGGTTCTGTAGAGAGGCTCGCTGCGCTGCCTTGCACACAGGCCACCCCCACGCACTATCAGGGCTTCTCGTGCTCATGGGCCAGTCTCGGGGGGCGTGGGGATGCTCAGTGCCTGTGTCCAGGAACCCTCTGTCCTGGAAATCAGCCTGGGGCTCCTCCAGCTCCTGTCAAGGTGTTTGTCTCCAGTGAGTCCGATCTCACCCGAGGGTCTCGCTGTTCTTCCCTGGATGGGCTCAGTCCAGCAGAACCAGCCTGCGCTGTTCCGCCATGTGGGAGTGTGGGTGGAAGGAAGCCCCGTGGCCGTCCAAGATCCGGGTTCCTCTCTCCTTGACACGCCCTCTGAGAAGTGAGGAGAGGAGTCAAGGCATTCGTACACGCTAGGGGCCTGGAACCGTGCCCGACCCTTGGAAGATGCCCCGTAATTGCCAGCTGCCTGAAGTCACCAGGCTTGTGTCTACCAAGACCCTGGCCTGGGAATCTCTCACCAGGAGCTGGAATCCTCGCTGCTTTGGCTCCATAGCCCATTTGTGTGGGCACTTAGGGTGGTGACACCAGCTGCCAAGCGCCACCTGAGGGCTCCTGGGTGTGACTGGGAAGGACTGGTTCTCTCCACCCCAGTGAGGGGTCCTTGTTTCAGGATAAAGAGAATTAGACCCCCTCATTCTCACTACATCTGCTTCTGTTTCATGTAACACACACAGTCACAGACACACACCGACTCAGAGACACACAATCACAGAAACACACAGACACACCCTCAGTCTAGATAGAAACATCTAGAGACAGAGACACGTGTGCACTCAGGCACACACACTCACAGACACACACACAAACAAGGAAAGACATTACAGTTATGCACCAACACACAGACACACACACACAAAGGCACATTGACATATAACATCACACAGAGATATAGATACTCAGATGCGCGCTCACACACGCGCGCGCACACACACACACACACACACACACACACACGGTGGAGCCCCTCTCTTCCTGGGCCATACAGACACCACAAAAGGCCACACACCTGACCTCCAGCACCTCAGGGCCCCTGACTTCCAGCACCTCAGGGCCCGGGCCTGGCAGGGAGGGAAGCTGTTGCCATGACCCCGGCGGTCACCTGCAGACACCCTGTTCAGCAGGCCAAGGACAGTGATTCTCTGCTAACGAGAGCGGGAGGCTCAGGATGGTGGCTTGTCCATGTCACTCAGTGTCACAGCATTCCGCCTGCACTCAGGCTGGGGTGGGCCCTCCTACGGTGACTGATGCCAGGCTACATCTCCTAGCAGCTCTGTGAGCTCCCCAAATCACCGATTTCTCTGACCCTCTGTTGACCACCTGTAAGCGAACCTGATAATACCTGCCCTACCTCCCCTCATGGGGACATAGCTTCTAAGACAGTGCTTTGTGAGTTGTAAGAAACTGCAAACATTCTTAGCCACCTTGATGGAGAAGATAATGAGAACGAGCACCTGCCCCTTGGGAGGGGCTCCCAATAAGCCCGGGTCAGCCATGTTCACTTCAGTATAAGGCAGTCTGTTGTATTCCTTTCCCTGGGCTAAAAGAGAAATCGCAGCTGTGCCCCGGGGAAGGAATAGAATGAAACGGTGGTGGTGGAAGTGCTCGGGAGAAGGTGCCTGCTGTACAGACAGACTCCAGGCTCAGCGAGGGGCCTGTCCTCCTGCTGCCCCTCCTCAGGAGGCCAAGGCCTGTCTCTGTCTGGAACAGGGGACATGGGACCCAGACACCATTGCAGGGTGAGCTTACAAAGGCCACCTATATCCTGTTCCTGAGGCTACACACAGGTCACCTCTGAAGTCATTTTTGCTGCAGAATCTGCCTGATAGTCGGGGTTTTGCCCTCTTTTCCACTTTGCTCTCACCTGGAGAGGCTCCCTGTTGGAAGGGCTGTGAGTCTGCACCCCCCAGGGGGCACACCCACCTCCAGATCTGGCCCTGGCCCTGCTGTGCCACTCCCTGAGAGAGCAACCCCACCATTTCTCTCCGTCCCCTGGCGGGGGGGTTTCTCCCTGGCTTGGAGCTTTGGTGCTGCTGGCCCTCCACCTCCAACCCTCTTCCTTCTCCTTCTGCACCTTGACCCTTCCCGACATCCCAGTGAGGTCTGGGTTGGGCTTCCACAGCTCTCCCTGGTGGCGCTTCCTTCACACTCATTTCATTCGTTCCCTCTTCCGGCCCCATCATCCCCTCACTGGTAAAGAAGGGCCTTCTACAGGCTCAACAGCGCCCCCCAGAGATATGTTACCATCTATGGGAGAAATGTCCTTGCAGATGTCATTAAGGATCTTGACAATCCAGATTGTCAAGGAGAAGACAATCCAGGGGGCCCCTAAATGCTATTGCAGGTATCCTTCTGAGGGGAAGGGGGAGGGAGACCTGACAGAGATGGAGGAAGAGGGGGCAGTGTGACAACAGAGTCCGCCACTGGAGGAGCAACTAATCAAGCAACGCCAGCAGCCACCAGAAATTGCAAGAGGAGGAAGTGGCACATCCCCTAGAGCTTCCAAGGGCACTCGGCCTTCCTGACACTCTGACCTTGTCCCGGTGACACTGTTCTGGATTTCTGGCCTCCAGAACTGTAAGAGAATGCATTTCTGTTGGAAACCACGGAGCTCGTGGTAATCAGCTACGGCAGCCACAGGGGCTCACACGGGGTCCTCACCTCTGCTGCTTCTGCCGCAGTCTCCACGCGTCGGTCTCAATGTGAGGTGTGATTTTTAAGAGCAGCCCGGGCCTTTTCCCTGTGCCTCCCCTGCCCCAGATCAGGCGTGGGCACAGGGCACACAGGTGAAAGGCTGACGTGGGGCCGGCCTGAAGCCCTTAGAGCTCTATAGACTGTCAGGACTCCAGGGACCTCAATGCTCACATTCTCTGGTGAGGAAACTGAGGCTCGGGGAGGGGATGTCCCCAGTGTCAGGTGGCACATTACTGGTAGACCTGGTAAAAGATCCCAGGCTGACTCCCAGCTCAGGATCACTGGCAACAAACGCGTGATTATCTGTAATTTATTCCTCTGTTAGTTCCTTGCCAGAGCATTGGGCATTGGAAGAAGGTAGCCACACCACTCAACTAATACTTTTGGAATCTACAGTATTCATTAATGTTTGATGGTCATTTAAGTAGCAGCACTTTTTTAGGGTGACGCTTTGCACATTAATCCACAAAAGTAACCTAGGAGTTAGGTATTATTTTACCTGTCTTGCAGGTGAGGGCGCTGAGGCACAGACAGCTGTAACAGCCCACTCAGGATTGCATGCTAAGGAGACAGTGGAGTTGGGATTCCTGTGTTCTTTCAACTTTGCTAAGAAGCCCTTAGCAATTGCATCCTAATATTTTAATGCCGAAGGACACTTACTTGATCAATCTCAGAACATATTTTGAGGGTATTAACTGCCAATTAAAAGGAAAAAAAAGTTTTTTTACTTAATACACACTGCTGACTTTTTTTGCTCCCCGTGCCCTCTGTCAAGGAAGCCCAACAGAGTTTAAACACAATTCTATTAGCCCTGATTGTTCATTCGTTTTTGCTGATGTTGTTCCTAAATCATCCCAAACAATGAGCACTTCAATTCTGGAAAATCAGCTTTGACTTCTGAGAGCAAATGCCCCGGAAACTGTTGGCCAACACTGCGTGGGGTGGTGGCCGTCCCCTTGCTGGCTTGAGCCTCTATTACTCTCTCCTGTGTGGCTCAGCACTCACATCCCCACCCTTTCCTGCTCACCACCGGATCTGGGCTTATTTCTGCATGGCCTGTGCTGAGTACCTTGTAACTAGAACTTTCTAATGGAGTTTCCTTGTGGGAATTCCTTTAGCTTTCCTTGTGTTTTTCAGATCTTAGTCACCCTCCCAGGCTTGCATAGTAGTTGAAGACTTATTTGATGCATTTCACGAATTCTGGTTATATCAGTCAGGATGGGCAAGGATTGTGCTGCAGCAATCAAGAAGCTCACAGCTCAGTTCTTCAACCCTTTAGCAAGGACTGATTCCACTCTATTTGTTCCATGTGGGATGAACAGAGGGGCTTTACCCACCCTGGGGACACAGCAACCAGGTTGAAGGAGGTTTCAGCTCCTCACTTCCCTGCTCCAGACCATGTGACTCTAGTTCCTTTCATCATTCCTGATGTCACGATTTCAATAGTAAGTGTGATACCAATGACAGTTATCAGAAAACTCCTAGACTGCCATTGAAGCGTCTGCTGTCAGCGTCTTCCCAGCTTGGATAATCAGCCCCTCTGCCCTGCCCAAGTGCTACTCATTTAAGGAAAAGGGCAAATGGATATGACATGTTATTTTTTTGTTTCTGATAAAGCTGATATTGGAGGGTGAGGCTTATGCCTGCTGGGATTTGGGCTTCTAAAACCTGACCTCTCATGCTGGTCAGCTTCACCATCTCCAGCAATGTAAGATTCAGGCCCGGTCTATCCTTGGCTCCACAACTAGGCCAGAGGAAGATTTCTAGGCTGCATGGGACAAGGACAAGGGACTTTAGAGAAATAAGACATTTCATCGAGACCTCAAATTCGATTTACATTTTGCAGATGAGGAAACTATGGCACAGAGAAGTTGAGGAACTTCCCTGAGATCACACAGCCTGCCCTCTCCCATATGATGATGAAGTGAGACTCCTGCTTTTTTGGGTTGCTGCTGGGTCCCTGCTGGGGAGGGAGTTTGCCTCAGTGAGGGTGCCCTTCTCTGACTTCTTTACTCAGGGTCATTCCATTTGTCCTTTTAGAACTGAGCCGGGTTCCTGCAGAAGCTGTCCCTGGCTCTGAGTCCTGCCGTGTGCCTTGTTCACTCCACTGCCTGTGAATTTTCCAACCAAGAACAACACAAAGGCCTCAGCCTTTCAAGGAGCCCTTGGGGTGTTTGAGGTCATCTGCGGGTGTATACTGATCATTTCTTACGCCTCTGGAAAGGTCCCGGGCTGCACCCTGACCCTCTCCACCCAGATCCATGGACGCACGCCTCGTTTATTCACCGTTCCCCACCGCCGTAGATCAGCACTCTCCCAGGGACGGACCTGGGTTTCATCTCTCTATCCCCCATACGCAGCTCCTGTTTGCTTGTTTGTTGTTTGAATAAATGCTGCCTGCTCGGATTTATGGGAGGATCAAGTTGCTCCTGGGAAGGAGATCAATGTATAATCTGTATTTCCCATTTCTGGTGTGAGAACCTAGAAGCTCCCTGACTATCGTCCTCTTAACAAATGGGGCTCACAGGGTGCCCTCTGTCTGGCAGAGCTTGCACTTCAAACCAAGGCTTCCTTTGTTTAGGCTTAAAATCTCAAATTCGTGTGTTCTGTCCCCTGCAAACTCCTAGGTGGGGTAAAAGGTCATGACTCTGAGGTTCCCGGCTGAGCTCGCAGCTGTTTTCCGTGTTTCCCTCTCATCTGTTTCAGAGCAGGATGAGGTTCCTGCCTGCAGTGGGAAACTGACTCGGAACACCCAGGATGCCCCGCAGCTCGGCCTTCAGCTGTTGTTAGAGCACAGCAGGTTGACGCAGTGCGGTTCTGGAGGATGGAGTTTTTATCGTGATCCCATATGGACTGAGGAAGTGTGTGCAGTTGGGGACAGCCAGGCCTAAGAGCGGAGAAGTCCTGCCTTCCAGGCCCACACTGGACAGAGCATTTGACCTGCTGGGCCTCAGTTTCCCCATGTGTACTTTGGGGATAATGATTCCTAGGCTGAGTCCTGCAGGACCTGTCTGGAGGATCACATTAGACAGTGAATGCATTTTTTAAAAAACTCTGGAAGATACAGTGAAGCTGAGGTCTTATGGCTGTTGCCTCACGGACTTGTGACATGTATTTGTCTTCCTCCTAATGAGGTTGTCATGACACTCTGCCCACCCCTGACTGATCCCTGTTGATTCCCACAGGAGCCCAGGAATTCCTCTGGGAGCTTATGCTGGTTTGAATGGAGTCTCTCCCAACCGGACTGTCAACTCGTGTGTGACAGACGATTCTTCAAAGTAAAACGATGGTGTCTAAGGTGATGCCCTCAGCACTGCAGCCTCCTTCCCTGTCCTGGCTGCTCCGGAAAGCCCACTTGTCTTTGACTCTGCCCCTGTTCTCCTACCAAATGCCAGTTAAATAAGAGGAGTCCTGTGGGTCGCCCAAGGCCGCGGGCTGTGTCAACATCTGGTGGATGAGCTTCTGCTCACCACCTTCAGCTCAGGGCCTGCTCCACATTGGGTGGAGGGCGTTTTTCTCATGAAGCGTGCTAGGCGTGAGCTGTGGGCCACCAGCAACCCTTATGGTTTAAGGAGGAATTAGCTCTGCAGAAGTTTAGCATGACCCTCGAAGGGGAGAGTGTGGTGAGGTGGTGTGGTTCAGAGGAACGAGTAGCCCATCAAGCCAGCTTTGCCACTTATGAACTATGTGACATTGTGGGAGACCAGCAGCCTCTCTGAGCCTCAGTTTCCTCATATGTAGATTTGGAGTTTAAGAGCACAGCGGATCTACTCACACATCACAGTGCTGCTACAGTTATTAAATGAGAAATAGCCAGGGAGGTTCTTCACAGGGATGTCTGATTCACAGAAAGCTCATAAATGCAAGAAATGTAGCTCTATTTATTCTCTGCTCTAATAGGTGTAAACGGTGTTTTATTATCTGACTTGAACATCGTACCAGCTCAAAGGCAGGTCTTACTGGCCACGGCTGTGGCTCAGAAAGGTTTGGCGACTTCATGAAAGTCACACAGCTGACAGGGGGATACCGGTCTTCAGACTCTCAGGTCTGGTGTCATCCTAGGAGGCTTGGTGACGGTCATATCTTTAATGTATTTGTGGAGAGTGAAAGGCTGTCACTGAGTAAGCTTAAGAGAACAGGAGACTTGTGTGGGAAACAGTTGGTATCCATTGATTAGGCTGAATCATGTTGAATTGCTAATTTCACCATTTTGAACTACAAAAATCACTATTTGGTTTGACTCAACCTCATCCTTTAAGCACACATTCATGACAGTGAGTGGTTAGACAGGGATTCCAAGATTAGTTTGGGATGGGTCAGTGCCTTCCACAGGACAAGGCAATTCCTGGTAGAGACAGAGGGAGCAGCCTGTCCTTCAGCTGGGGGCTCAGGGGACCTCCTGGCTGCTGTGCCCTTTAGCAGAGCCTTGGAGGATGGAAGGACTCTCCTGGCCCTTACCACAAGGGCTATTCCGGAACAGCCTCCTTCCATGGCACTGGAGCTGCGGCTGCCCTCTGAAGACTGCAGGGACAGCAACAGGCACAAAGAAGTCAGGCTGCATGTGGCCCCAGTCAGGACTCAGGGGAGAAAGAGAGGGGTTGCAGGGGTCAGTGGGTGCTGTGCTTCCTCTCCCATAGCTGGGGAATCCTTGCGATGGCCTTCGTGAGCCATCAGCAGGCCTATGGCCACATGACTAGGGAGGAGAAGGGATATAGGGTAATGGTCTTGTGGGGACTGCTGGGCCTGGTTGAGTCTGAGGAGGAGATAGAGAAAAAGAAGCAGAGACCCTCCTCTTCATCTGAGGAGAAGGGACCTGATTCTAAACTGAGACATGTGAGGCTTTATGGGGCAGCGATGGAAGGACAAGGGCAGAATAGGTGTCCTTGTCGCCCCATGGAGAATGGGCTTCAGGAGGAATCTGCTTCAGTTGTTTTCCAGAAGTGCCCAAGAGGCGCCGGGCCCAAGCCTGGTTAGGTGACAGTGGGACAAGAAGAGGACACGGTCCTCTCTCTTTTGTTGTTGCAGATGCCACAAAACAGGGCTAGGGCATGGTCAGGCAGTTCTCGGGCTCCCAGGAGGGCAGCCTTGGGGTGGGCACAGGCAGCCCTGGCAGGATGAGGAACTCTGGGTGGCGGGGAGTGGGGGATGAGCAGGGGGACATGAAGATGCTTGGAGGAGCCTGGGGTCATGGGCTGGTATCTGATTCCTCCCCTGTGATTCCTTATTAGGGACTCCAAGACAGGACAAGGAAGACTGGAGCTCTCCAGAAACAGATGGGCCCAGGTCCGTAAGCTGAGGATTCAGCCCCCTCCATCCTGGCCCAGCATATGCCTGCCCAGCCAGATGCTCCATGAACACAGTTGAGGGGGTCCGGAGAGAGCACTGTGACCTGGAGCCCACACACGGCCTCAGCAGGCAAAGGAAGACCCAGAGACAACATGGGAGGGGTTTGCAGTCACACACGCAGGCAGGGACCAGCTCAACCCTTCTTTAATGTCATTCAGGGAGGGGGCCAGGGATGGAGGGGAGGGGCTGAGGAGTGACAGGCAGTTATTTCTGGGTGGGATTCACCACTTTTCCCATGAAGAGGGGAGACTTGGTATTTTGTTCAATCATTAAGAAGACAAAGGGTTTGTTGAACTTGACCTCGGGGGGAATAGACATGGGTATGGCCTCTAAAAACATGGCCCCAGCAGCTTCAGTCCCTTTCTCATCGATGGTCAGCACAGCCTTATGCACGGCCTGGAAGGGAGAGAAGCAGAGACATGTTCTAAGGCTGAGTTGTGCCCCAGCCCAGGCCTGGAGCAAGGCTCACGTGGACACCTCCCAGGAAGTGTTCACTCAGGCCTTTCTCCCGCTGCACAGCCCTGGCCCTGCACATCCTCTCCCTCCCTGTCACACAGACCTTGCTCCTCCTCAAGGCTTTGGCTGACAGGGCTGGCTCCCCTCTGTCTATCTTCCTGACAAGCGCCTATGCCCCTGCTCAGGGTGCACCCACAACTCAGAAGGGGAAAGAGCATCGCCACTCCACGCCTGTCTCCAGGGCTCTCTCCTTTCTAGCACACAGCTTGAAGCTCCTCGAGGACATGGACCCTGACAGTGACCTTCACAGTGCCCAGATCCCAAGACAACGCAGCCGTTCACGGAACTGCAGTTGTTCTTTGGTCACCTTTAGTTTTCCAAAGGAAGAGTCATCTTTAGCTGACATCATTCATTCATTCAGACACCAAATCTCACAGATCGAAGGAGTCACAAAGTCCTTTGAAACAACTTAGCCCAAACCTTTCTGTGTCAATATGGATAAATCAAGGCCCAATGTCTAGAAGGTCCTGGGCAAAGATGAAATTCGGGGTCGGTGACACAACCTCAAGGGAGGCCCTGAAAGTGCCAGCAGCACAGCAGGCCCCTGCCTGGCTTTGCCGTCTGACCACGTCCCGCGTCAGTGAATCACGGGCATCCTCAGGAGCTCAGCCTCGGTCTTCATTTGTTTCCCTTGGCCCCTTCCTCAGCCTCAGGACAGAACTGCAGCCCCCATACATCCTTCCCTACAGATCCCGGGGTGCAACAGGGTCATCAGGGTGATCTCACCTTGGAGAGCTTCAGGGGTGCCTCCTCCGTGATCCCCGAGAGGTCAGCCCCATTGCTGAAGACCTTAGTGATACCCAGGTGGCCCAGGACTGTCTTCAGATCATAGGTTCCAGTAATGGCCAGTCTGGGTAAATGTAAGTTGGCAGACCTGCCATGCAGAAAAGAAATTCAGGGCATGGCACAGCATTCCTCTTGTTCTTCTGGGACCCACCGCAGTGCAAGTGTTTTCTTTTCTGATTATTTCTGCCACTTACTCCTGTGTCCTCCACCCACTCTAACATGGGAACTTGGCTTTGGTTTGTTCTACTATTAGCTCTTCTACACTGAGTCAAAGAATGTTAACATCAAATGAATCATGAAAGCTTGAAATGCCACCTCCTCTGAGATTCTAGGTGTACTGGAAGCATGTCTCATCCTGCCCTGTAGTGTTTGGTCACTGGGCCCCCAGCCTGAAACATCCCCAGGGCCCTATACCCAGAGGAACATGGGCTGGTAGCAGTGCCCCCAGAAGACTGACCACACCAGGCTGAGTGCTCCCCTCTTGTTTTCCATGGGGAGACAGAGCCGCCCCGAGCAGGGTCTGGTGTGAGCGGGCAGCCTGGCTTTGGGCTCTCTGATCAGTTACCCTCTCAGCCTCCTTGTTCTTTCTCAACCCCTGGAGCAGGGACCTCAGGAGGTGCTGGCGTGAAACAAAGAAATTCCAGCCTCAATTCCTATTATGAACCCAACACCTTTTGTATTTTCATCTTGGTTTTACAGTGTACAAAATAAACTAGATAGGAGGGCATGGGCATAATTACGAATGCACACAGACACACTAATGTGTGACTCATATTGGAGTATCATTTACTACAGGGCACCCAATCTAACAGCACCGATAAAGTGACAGAGAAACTCAAGCCTTTTGCTAACATGCCCTGGCTATTCCAATTTTGAACCTTGCTTTTCTGGGCCTAGCCACACAGGCTCTTCCCCCATCCCCACAGGGACAGTCTACCCTTGAACTCCACACTCCACTACTGCCTTTGCCAGGAAGCCCATCTGTTCCCTTTTGGTTCTGCCAGAACGTGTGGTGGTGCTGCTGTCCCTGTCCTGGGCACTGGATATTGGGAAGGGACAGTGTCCACGCTGGAGTGGGAAGTCCCCAAGGACGAGACCTTTACCTCGTCACCCCTGGGTACTGTCCTGCTCATGGAGCATGGCCGGTGCCACCTGAACTCAGTGGTGGCCTCATTCTGGAAGCCAAGTTTATGCAGAGTAGCAGTGACCCAGGGATGTAGTGTTCACCCTCTCCAACCCTCTGGTCAGTTCTGACGGGCCTCAGTCCCAACGTGGCTAAGAGGTGTGGGCAGCTTCTTGGTCACCCTCAGGTTGGGGAATCACCTGCTGTTTTCATTTTCCAGGAACTTGGTGATGATATCATGGGTGAGTTCATTTTCCAGGTGCTGCAGTTTCCCCTCATCAGGCAGGAAGAAGATGGCGGTGGCATTGCCCAGGTATTTCATCAGCAGCACCCAGCTGGACAGCTTCTCACAGTGGTAGATGTTAAACATGCCTAAACGCCTCATCATGGGCACCTTCACGGTGGTCGCCTGGTCCACGTGGAAGTCCTCTTCCTTGGTGGCCTCAACGTCAAAGGGTCTCTCCCATTTGCCTGGACAGAGAGGGTAAGGCGGGCATCAGTAGGGGTGGGTGAAGGTTTGGAAGAGTGTGGCAGAATAAAGGAGCCATCTGTCCCCTCCCTGAGAAGCCCTGAACCCCCTTGACGACACACATCCCTCAAGCCTCAGCTTCATCATCTGCAAAAGGTGCTGAAACCAACCACCCAGGCTGCCAAAAAGGTCTGTGTGGAGATAATTCAAAACTAGAGGAAGATGCAGAATTTCTACATCGCAGAGATGTAAGGCTAAGAGATGCCATCCTGACTGTGCATTTTATTGGAATCGTATGTTTATTTGAGGGTGTCTTGGATATTACAAATAAAATGTTGGAGCATCAGGCATATTTGTTACCTCCTGTCTAAGGCTCCCTGCCTCTTGTTAATTGGCAGCTCAGTTATTCATTCAGGGCAAACATTCTGCTTACTATTCCTGAGGGTTTTCTTTATCCCCTGGATTGGCAGGGGAAATGCAGATGCCTGAGCAGCCTCCCCTCTGCCATGCCAAGAGAGCTTCACCATCGAGGCATGCAGAGTGGACAGGGGCCTCAGGGACCCCGATCCCAGCTTTCTCATTGGACAGAAGGAGGAGACTGGGGCTGGAGAGGGACCGGGGCCTGCCCTAAGCCACAGCAGAGCCAGGACCCCAGTTGTGCTGACTGCAGCCTGGCTGCTCTCCACTGCCCTCCTTTGCCTCAAGAGCACCCCTCAGGGGCAGGAAGGCAGCCTGAGATACAGAGGAGCCCACCACCTACTGTATGCCACACTTTTCCCAAGGTGTTTGTCACTTGTTTAATCCTAAAAAAAACCTGACAGCAAGAATGGTATTTTGTCCATGCTAAGATGGGAAATTAGCACCTCAAGGAGGTAGAATGCATTGTTCGGTGTCAAAAGCTAATAGTGGTAGAGGCGGGATTTGAACCCAGGTCTTTCAGACTGCAAAACTGATACTGATTCTGGGACACTAGAGTCGTCTAAAGTACGTTCCATGAAACTATCCCTTTATGCAGTATATTACAATTTGTTCTATAGTTCTAAGCATTATATATTCTACGTACACAGTACACACAAGGACATTAAAGGCTCTGGAAAGTTCTGCAGAGCTGTCAGCGGTTTTGACAATTTAATCTATTATTCCCTCAAATTACTCAATGATGGAAAACATTTTAGTGTTTGTGTGTAGAAAATTGAAGAGCCCACACTGACATGCATTTCTATAGCCCATAATGCATTGCCAAGGAGAGTTCAAGAGATGATGGTTTGAGAATATTTTTGGTTGTTTCTATGGGAACAGCTCAGGCTGGTTTTGCAACCTTACCTTTAAAGAAGATGTAATTCACCAGAGCAAAAACTGTGTCTCTGTCAAGCTCCTTGACCAAATCCACAATTTTCCCTTGAGTTTCCTTCTCCACGTAATTGTTGATCTGTTTCTTGGCCTCTTCGGTGTCCTCAAAGTTGACAGAGAAGGCTTCTGAGTGGTACAGTTTTTTGACATCCTCCAAAAACTTATCCACTACCTTCAGGCTCTTGTTGAGGAACAGGCCGTTGCCGGTGGTCAGCTGGAGCTGGCTGTCTGGCTTGTTGAGGGTATGGAGGAGTTCCTGGAAGCCTTCATGGACCTGAGCCTCCGGAATCTCCGTGACGTTGAAATTCAGGCCCTCCAGGATTTCACTGTGAGTGTCAGCCTTGGTCCCCAGGGAGAGCATTGCAAAGGCTGTAGCGATGCTCACTGGGGAGAAGAAGATATTGGTGCTGTTGGACTGGTGTGCCAGCTGGCGGTATAGGCTGAAGCCGAACTCAGCCAGGCTGGGGGTGATCTTGTTGAGGGTTGGGTGGTCCTGATCATGGTGGGATGTATCCGTCTTCTGGGCAGCATCTCCCTGGGGATCCTCAGCCAGAGAGCCGGGGAGCAGGCAGCACAGGCCTGCCAGCAGGAGGACGCCCCATGAGACAGAAGATGGCATTGTCCTGCAAGACAGAGACGGGGGCCAGGCCCCGAGTCAGGGCACATGATGACTCCCAGTGACCCGGGATTGACACCACGTGGAAGTGCCTAAGGCTTATTAAACCAGCCTGTGCCAAGTACTTGCTGACATCAGTAACACTGAAAGAATCAGAAGAATAGCAAAATGTATGTAGTGCTTACCATATGCCAAGCACTGTTCTACGTGCGCACATGTGTTAACTCATTGCTTTCTTGTAACAATCCTGTGAGGTGCTGATGCTACTATCCTTCTTTTTCAGATGAAGAAACCAAAGCCAGAGAGATTAGGTCACCTATTCAATGTCACTGAGGAAGTAAAGTAGCAGAACCAGAATCCTACATCTAGGTCCTGCGCCCAGGCTCTGGACAGCTCCACTTACATCTGCAATGACCCTAAGATGCAAGTGGTACAGCCACTGTTTTACAAAAGAAGCAAATGAGGCATAAGAAGAGGAATGGGCCTGGCCACGATTATCCAGGAATCGGGCCAGATCAGAATGAAGAATCACGTCAAGCTAGAAGCCCTTGGAGGGCTTCTATCTAATCCCACTGTTGAGTGGCCAGGGACACTGCTGCACAGAAGGGAAATGCATCTTGCACAATGGCACCAGCTAGAGCATGGTGGGGCTGTGATTAAATCCCCTGGGAGCTGTTCGCCCCCAACACTCACAAGGATCCTCAGCCCTTAGGGTTTTTTCCTAAGAGAGGGGGCTGTCCCCACAATGCTCTGTGGTCCCAGCCACAAGAATAGGCTGATGTCCCTGCAGTCAGCTCACCTGCCATCTGGATCACCAATGGTGTCCCAGTTCTGGGCTCTTGCTGTCAGGGACTTTAGAGAAGCTCATCTCTCCTGTGAAGCAAGGCTTTGTGCTGCTTTAAAGGAGATGGGGGTGGTGGGAAGTGAAAAAGCATCTCTTTTAGCTTCAGATAGACCTGGGATCTAATCTGACTCTGTCACTTTCCAGGTGTATGAGCCAGGACACGTCATTTATCTCCCTGGTCCTCATTTTGCCTCATACATAAAGTGAGGCTGTTGGAAGAATTTAGTGAAATAAGTCTAGACACCAAACCTTACATCAAAAGGATCTGAGAGGGCAACCCTTTTGAGGGAGGGGTTGACAGGTGTTGCAAATTCAAAGCCTTCAGGTGATAGTCCAGTGAGGAATACATGTTTCATAGCTGGGGCTGAGACAATAGGGAGTGGTGGGGCCTGTGGCTGAACCGGCGAGAGCAGGCTCTGCTGAGCAATGGTCAAAGTCAGTGTCATCCACAGCAACGCAGAGCCTGCCATGCCCCACAGTGCTCCTTCTACTCCAGATATGCCCAGACTTCGGACCATCAATCTGCAGCCCCCTAAGTAGAACCTGCTGTCTACACAGATGGGAAAACTGAGGTCCTAGCTGAGGAGAATATGCCTGGCAGCCACATAGTTAACTACTAGTCACAAAAGTAAAATCATCATCTTAACAAAATACAAAGAAAAATGTGTCCTTGAATTTGGGAAATGAAACACTGGAGAAAAAAGTTGGAAATAACAAATATTGAGATTCATTGACCCCCCTGGACTGTTAAAAGTTTCTTTCCAGTAAAGCAACAAAATGAAGCCTAAAGCTGGTTTCTCTCTACCACCTTTCTCCTGGCCCTCTTGCCTCTAAGTAATCCAAATGGAACGGACCACACACTACATAATACATGTTTGTATTTTTCTTCAACTAGCTAGTGTTGTTAGAACTGAAGACGGTGCTAAAATTAGTGCTGTATATTTCCATCTCCCTTAGGTTTCTCTTTCACTTCCCAGCTGGATTTTGTGCAGTCCTTCATGGTTTATGGAAATTCCCCCATCATTACAGAGCTCAGAGGGCAGGAGGGAGTTGGGCCTCTGCAGGGTGGGGACACTAAATACGCTGAGTGGCCTTAGGGCCAGAAGTTGTGGCTTCTAGTCCTGGCAGGGCCATCACTATCCGTTTGGCCTTGAGTAAGCATCCCCTGGTCCTGGGGCCTCACTCTCCCCAGTTGTGCAAAGTGGGGCTGGGAGAAGACCTCACTGGGGACCTCTGTACGCTAACATAGGATTTTTTTTTTTTTTTTTTTTGAGACAGAGTCTCGCTTTATCCCCCAGGCTAGAGTGCAGTGGTGTGATCTTGGCTCACTGAAACCTCTGCCTTCCAGGTTCAAGCAGTTCTCCTGCCTCAGTTTCCCAAGTAGCTGGGATTACAGGCACATGCCACCACATCTGGCTAATTTTTGTATTTTTAGTAGAGACGAGATTTCACCATGTTGGCCAGGCAGGTCTTGAAATCCTGACCTCTTGATCCGCCTGCCTCGGCCTCCCAAAGTGCTGGGGTTACAGGTGAGTGTCACTGCACCCAGCCAGGATTCTTGGTTAGAATGGCATCTGGGTTCGATGTAGCAAAACAGATGGAGAAGAGGCACCCTCCTAGACAGGAGGCTGCTGGGCTCAAAGGAGGTGGCGAGGCTGGTGCAGGGAGGGTGGAGAGGGGGTGACAGCTGGGAGGAGCACAATTCCCCACACCCATCCATCTTTTCTGGCGTCACATCACCTCCTCTGGTTTCCTCCTTTCACAGTGAAGAGTTTGAAGCCCAGAGAGGGTCAGGGCCTTGTCGAGGCCATACAGCAAGTCGGTGACAAAGCAGGAACAAGTCTTGGCTTTCCCAGCACTCAGATCACGGACTGAGACAGCTGTGCCCTCAAATCTCAGATGATGAATGGCAGAATTGGGCTCTGACATTGGTCTCAAGCATCGTGTTGGGTTCATTATGCCTCCCAAGCTGTTCCTTATAGCATCAGGACTCCAAAACCTGCTCTCTCCTGGCCCTTCTATCAGAGGCAGCACCCTGCACCCTCAAAAGCTAGTGCCTGGGAGGGCGGCTGGAGAGGAGAAAGTAGATGGTCAAGTACCCCATGGTGTATGGACACTGAGGCCAAGCTTTAAAACAGAAGAATGAAGACTTCATGGTGACATTTCTGGAACTGGGGCAGGTGGGAGCACCCTTTGCAGGGCCAGGGAGAGGGAAGCAAGCCACTTCCTGCCTAATCTCACACCATTTCTACCCGGGAGCATAAAATAAGGGACCAAGAGCAACCCAGCAGGGTGCAGGGAAGAGAATCTCGCCTATGGTCAAACGACCTGTTGAAATGGGCAATAAATAAACCCAAGTGTGACCAGGCCCTGTCACTTACTGGCAGGGGGCCCGGGGTAAATGACTTCACTTCTGTGAGCATTGGCTTCAGAGCTATACAGTGGAGAAAAGAATCCCTTGGAGAGAGATGAGGAATAACTGACGTAATGCGAGAGTGGGCACCAGGTGCGGAAGCCGTCCCTGTGCCTGCACAGAGGTTGAGCTCCTGCCCGAGAGATGGCAGATTTCTTCCTGCCAGCTGCTGCGCTCCCCAGGACCCATTTCAGCAGGAGGGGGCTCCTGCTCAGCAGTGAACAGCATCTGAGTTTGGCCAATTTTCCATTAAATTCTCCAAGTATTTGTTTACTGCCTGCTAGCTGCCTAACCTATGCTAAGCAAACATCAACCTCAGTGTCACCATCATTGCCACACTTACTAACACCAGGCGATTTACAGGCACTGTATCATCTAATCTGTCCTCAAAGCTTACCCTATGAGGTGCAAATGATTAACCCTATTTTATAGACAGAAAAATTGAGGCCCAAAGAGGATTAAATAACTCACTAAAAATCACAGAGCTACTTGCTTACAAAACTGAGATTTAATCCCAGATGTTTTGTCTGGGATTAAACAGATGTGACTGCAAAACCTGACATTTAATAGTCTCTGTGTACAAAGCTGGAGCCAGAAGTCTTGAACCAGAAGATTTCAGAGGTGGCCTGGCTAAATGAAGAGGGGCAGCCTCAGTTTGTGGCTAGAATTAGAGGCTCTCAGGCCAGATTGCTCCAGATCAACTTGCTATTAACTGTGTGACCTTGGACACGTTACTTAACCTCTCTGAACCTCAGTTTCCTGGAGATGAGAAAGGTGGACTTTGTCATAGAGTTATTGTGAAATTAAATATGCACAAAATACCAAGAAGTGCCTGGTGCACAGTAAGTTCTCAAGAATACCAGTTCTTGCTGCTAGTGCTGCAGGTCTTTTAGAGGCGTTCTATGGGAAACTGGCCAGCTTGGCCTTGGTCAGCTTTTTGACCCCTGTCTCCAAACTCAGTGCAGGAAAAATTAAATTCTTCCAACACTCCAGAGATCAAGGTCGGGTGGGGTGAGGGGAGGGGACAGAGGTCAAAGGTTATCATGTTTTGCCCAAGAGAACAGAGAGGTTGAGCAACTGTCTGAAGTCACCGAGCATCAGAGAGGCCTCAAGTCCAGCCCAGGCTTCCTGTTCCCCATCCAGCGCCTGAGACCTGAGAGAAACGGTGAGCACTAGGGCCAGGCTCAGGATTTCGGGGCCTGGAGCCAGGTGCCTGAGCCCAAATTATGGATGGTGTGTGATTTGGGGCCAGTTATTAACCACTCGGTCCCCAACTTCCTCATCTGTAAAATGGGAATCACCCTGGTAACTGCCTTGGAGGGTTATGAGGCTTAATCGTGCACAGAGCTTAGCCGTGGCCTGGCACAGAGCGATTATTCAGGAATGCCAGCTTGAACCCTGGGTGACGGTGCCCCTCACAGCTTCCTGTCCTCCACTGGGACAGGAGGGCCCAGAGGTCCACAGTGCAGGGGGAGACCCATCTTGATGTAAGGCTGAGACCTGGCACAGGTCTGTTCCTGGCCATATCTGGAGGGGATGGAGAATGTGAGCCGGCGTTCCTCCTCACCCCTCCCTGAACCTTAACCTCCTCATCCATAGAAGGGGAAAAAGATGCGTGTCCAAGTAGTAGGAGAGGTGGTGAGGCTTACAGGAGACAACAGATAGGAACCCCCTGACAGACACAGGAGCTGCACAAACAGAAAGAAATGGCTGCGCTTCCTTGCTGTTGCTGTATCTTGGGGTGCCAGGACCGCGGAGCTAGACACCCTCGTGCACTTCTGCTTACAAAAGCCAGTGTATCCACCAGTAGGTACTGAGTGGGGACCGGGCAGGACTGGGAAGCAGGACACAACCCTCATGGCTGCTGTTATTACGACAATAGGAGCCCAGCTGCAGCCCCTCCATCTGCCCGGCACCTCAGCGGGCGGATACCCGCTCCACAACCCCCCTCCTGCCCCAGACCTGCTGCCTGCCTGGGCCGTGGGGGACTCAGAAGCCTCTCCAGAACCTCTCGCAGTGAAAGGCATACTTACGATTCACCGTCCCAGGTCAGTGGTGGTGCCTGAGGCTGAGGAGACAGAGCCCTGTCCTTGTCCGTATTTAAGCAGTGGGTGCAGAGGGGCAACGGGGGAGGCTGCTGGTGAATATTAACCAAGATCACCCCAGTTACCGGAGGAGCAAACAGGGACTAAGTTCACAGGCTGGGCGCTGAGTCGCCCGCCCACGCTGTCCGGACGCTCTGCCTGAGCAGCATACAGCCTCCACTGCACGTACCAAAAGGAGTCATTGTACCTGGCTCAGAAACCACAGTGTCCTGCGTCCAAGGTGGAGGGGGTGGCGTGAGTCAGCCAGTCGCTGGGAGAGTACCACTTTGCTGGCCCTCTGCTCTCACTGCAGAATCCTTAGCGGCTGTTCCACTGGTAGCAAGATCTACCATTTACTAATTCACCCCGAAATGCCTGATGCTGAAGACTGATGCCGCCCTGGGAGATCAGAGTGGGTTAGAGCCCATTTGACAGATGAGGAAACTGAGGCTCAGAGCAGAGAGGCCGCTCATCCGAAGTTACCCAGTCAGCCTTAGACACAAAAACCCTCTTGATTGTCCGGATGGAAAAATGGAGCATGACTGAGGCAGACACAAGCGTCAGGCCGGCATGGGTGACCATGAGACAGGGTAGAGGTGGGAGAGCAAACCTGTAAAGAAGCGTGATGCTGTCTCAGGCAGGCCGCTTCACCTGTTTGAACCAGGAAGTGTTTCACCTGCATCCTAGAGAGTTGGAAGTCTCATTCCCAAGCATGCTTGTGAAGTGCCTTGGGTGAAGTGCCTGGCACACAGTAGACTCTTTATGTGGGTCTGCACAGCCCTCTGCTTAGCCTGCCCCGCAGGCTGCTCAGAGCAGGAGGGGGTTCAATTCTGACCAGCCTCAGGCCTGTTTCTGTTTCTGCTCCTGGAAAATCAGTGTGATGCGTATACAGCTTGGATTTTCTTTGGGAATACGGCCCCCATCCTGGGGTTGATGGAGGTCTTTGGGGACTACTGGGGATGGAAGGGAGGGGTGGTACAGGGTTGAGGCCAGTAGGGCCCCACTTGATTGCAATCCCTTTAAAAGCCTAAATCAGATTGCATCACCCTTTGTGCAATGTGCAAACTTGCTTGGGAGCTGGCGTACGTGCCGTGGATACTTCCAGAATTAATGGATGAGTGTGTTTTTTGCCCCTTCTGTCATTCACCAGTCCCACTTATGCCTCCACCTTGGGGCTCTACCAGGCGAGTGACCCACAGGATCCTCCAGCACACATATTCAGACCAGGGAACCCACTTACTGGCTGTGAGGCCTCAGGTGAGTTGTTTAACTGCTCTGAGCCTCAATTTCCCCATCTGTAAAATGGGGACGGTGACGGTGTGTACCTTGTTGAGCTGCTGTGAGGATTAAAATGCAACAGTTCAAGGACAGCTCAGAGCTGGGTGCTGGGTGTGCCCGGAAAGTCCCTTCTGATGCTGTCCTTCCTCCCCCATGTCAGGGGTCACTGGGGTGGGGTGGGCCACATTTGAAGAGCTTTCCTCCAGGCAGGCTCATTCAGTTACCCTGTGAGGGGAGTAGGTACCACCCTCTTTTTAGGCAGTGGGAAACTGAGCTCAGACTCCCCTCCCCTTCTCTCTGAGCTCTCTTCCCTGCCAGCTCCATGCCTTGGCTTCAGGGCCCCTGTCCTTTCCCGGAGCTGGCTGAATGGATATTCTGCTACTCTACGTCTACTCACAGCTCCAGTGCTGGGCTGTGGTTGAGGTCGCCTGCCCTCGGTACCTCCTGGGCATTTCTTCCCCTCTCTGAGCCTTCATTTTCCCATCTGTGCCATGACCCCCACTCCAAGCCCCACTGTCCCTCCCATCTGTGGAACAGAGTGAGCAGCAGCAGCATTGTTCCACCTTTCCTGCTCTCCTCAAGCTCCGTCTCCTCTGGCAGGCACAGGAGAGTGGCCTGGGGGCTGGCAGAAGGTTGCCGCCCCTCCTACCTGGAATTCCTGGCAGCAGCAGTGGCTAGGCCTTCCTCAGAGTGCCGATCCCCTCCTCCTCCTTTGCTCAGCTCAGTACTCTGAGGGTTGCTGCGTGGAGGCAGTGCACGCCCTGGGCACAGGGCCCAGTTCCTGCCCACCCAGGAAGTTGGCCTCGGGTGGCGGGTGGCGGAGGCAATAGGTTGGGGAGGGGCGGGGAGCTTGGGCAGGAAGGGGCCTTGCCCATTGCCAGGCAGACACAAGACTGGGCCCTCATAAACTCAGAAAGCCCTGCATATCACCTGTTCTACCCGCCCTGTCAGCTCTGTGACCCAGGACGAGTCACCCTCTCCCTTTGAGCTGCCGTAAAAGGTGCAGTCACACTGCCCAGAGGATTACTAGAAATGACAGGCCTTGCCCTTCTGGCACAGACCTGGCACCAACATCTGGCAGGTTTCTGGGGCCAGTTGCAGAGGGAAGAGGACTGAGCCACCTATGACATGCCCAGTGGGCAGCCCTGCGGCTGGGCAGGTCTGTGTGCACTGGGGAGGTGTGTGTCATAGGACCTGGCTGGGTGCAGAAGGGATTGCAGTGGGGAGCTGGGGCATTTGGAGGAGGAATGAAGAAAGCATGGGTGGGAGCAGGTGGGGCAAGTAAGGGGCTCAGAATTTGGGGTCCTGTTCTTTTGGTTCCAGGGCTCTAGGCTCAGCCCTTGCCCTGCTCTGGACATCCATCCTGGGAGGAAGGGCTGGGATGATCTGGGAAAATGCACCAGGATAAAACCCCGGGCGGTAGGGGGAGGTGGGAGCACTCAGTGGCCATTCACAAGGACACTGTGACCCCAGGAACCCCAGGACACGATGGGGAAAGTCTTGTCCACTCGGTTACTTCCAGAATTGTCTATTGCAGCATCTGGGCTGATCCCCTCAGAGGAAATGCGTCATGGGAAGATCCTGTGAGCTGGTAATGAACAAGGGGCATCTGGGGAGGCCCTGCCCCATCACAGGGCCCTGCCCGGAGATGGGAGCCTCGTGGTATAGGCTGGATAGGGATGTAGGAGTCAAGATTTGGGGTCTGCAGCAAGGAAGTGGGTAAGGGGGTAAGCCTGGCCACAATGTTGGCCAGGCTGGTGCCAGTGGCCTTGGGCCAAGTAAATCCAGACTGAGTGACTGGTCAGGAGAGCAACAGTGGACTTCAGGGGAGCTGAACTCATTGGCAAAGTGCCCCCGAAGAGTGCTGGCCACCCCACAAACACACACATGCACCATGCACACCCTCGCTCTGCACCCTCCCTCCCAGGCACCAGCTTCCTTCTTTGGGAGGCAGTGCAGGTCACTGGTTAAAGCATGGGCTCAGGATCTAACATCTGGGGTCAAGCCTTAGCTCCACCGCTCTTTCTGTGAGCTCTTAGACAAGCCACTTAACCTCTCTGTGCCTCGGTTCCCTCATCTGTGAGATAGGGAGACTCTTAGAAGAGTCACTTCCGTTAGGATTGTGAAGATCAAATGAGGTAATAACATTTAAGCACTTCGGGCAGCCTCTGGCATGGGATGGGCCCCAAGTCAATGCTAACCACCAGAAGCCACAACCTTTGGGGATGTGTCCTCGCTCTGAAAAACCTTATAGACAGGTCTCAGGGGTCTAAGTGGGAGAACAGCTGCTGCGTTTGGCCCCAGACTTGGTGAGCAGCACCTGTTGTTGAGCGATACCTCCTCAGATTCAAACTTCCATTTTTTCCAGAAAGAGGCCGTCAATCCGCTCTTTAGGGGCTCTGCTCATTTTGGCTTCCTGAAGGTGCATCTGCATCTTTCTGAGCACCTGTGACATGCAGAGGACGTGGGGTGACTGGAGCTAAGCGGACTTGGATCTGGGGGAGGGCCTCAGTTCTCTGAGAATTGGTTTCCTTATCTGTAAAATGGGGATAAAAGTCTCTTTCCCACATAGTTGTGAGGCTTAAATGAGGCGATGCTGGTGGGGTATTTAACACAGAGCTCTGTTAGCATAATTGACACTTGTGTCTGTCTTCCTATAACTCATTTAATTGGTGGGGTTAGTTGGGTGTTCGAAGTTTATCTTCCAGGAGATGAATGAATGAAGTTTGCACCATTTGTTTACCTCCTTGAGGGATCTTTCAAATTAACCAACTTGCAAAACCCCAGCAGACACACTTTCCTTCTCTGTGTCACCTCCTGAGCCACTTCCTGTGTGTCGGGGGGGTGGTGGATTTCTGCTTTTTCTGGAACTATTTGGCCTACTCACAACTTCTTGTTTTTATTCTTCTTTTTTTGAGACAGAGTCTCACTCAGTCACCCAGGCTGGAGTTACAGTGGCGCAATCTTGGCTTACTGCAAACTCCACCTCCTGAATTCCGGAATTGCAAGTGATTCTTGTGCCTCAGCCTCCAGAGTAGCTGGCATTACAGGCATGCGCTACCATTTCCAACTAATTTTTATATTTTTAGTAGTGGCGAGATTTCATCATGTTGGCCACGCTGGTCTCAAACTCCTGGCCTCAAGTGATCCTCCTGCCTCGGCCTCCCAAAGCGCTGGAATTACAGGTGTGAGCCACCATGCCCGGCCTTTACTCTTTATCCTTACTCAGACAGAGAAAAATAAGGCAAAGCTGTACCTTGTAAGGGGCAACATAGTTAAAAGAAGGAAAAAAAATGCATCTATAGCTTCATCCCCTTCTTGTTAAAATTAATAAAACTAATGTTTTATTGCAACTAACCTTTTCTGAACTTTATTTTAACTTTACTCTTTTGAGGTTATGGGCCATGATGGTCATTATGGATTGGAAGATTTAAGAGACGAAATGTGTCCTATTGAACTATAATTATGATTTGATTTTAGATGGCCAACTTGTCTCATTTTGGTCAGTAGGAACCCTTTTAAGTTATCTCTTTATCCCTTTGACAATCTCTGCTGATGTTTCAGCAACACACACTTGCTTTCTGACAAGGCCACCATGTTCATGTTCCAGGTCTGTCTTCATTTTCTCTTGCCCCGAGACACGGCACTGGGGTATCTTCCCTGGGAGAGGAAGTGAACAGGCAGTGACAGAGGCCTTCCGGGAACCACAGGCAGGGCTGAGTGTGCAGGACTCACTCTTGCATGGGGACTGTGGGAGACCCAGCAGGACTTTAAGGCTTATTATTCAGAAATACATGCCCTACGTGGGTGGCTTAGATAACAGAGAGCAATAGGGCTCTTAATTTGCCCAACTCTGGCCTTGGCTTCAAATGGTTCGATTTACCCTGTTGACTCCTTCATGTTGACTTTGAGCATTTCTATTTGCTTGATTTTAACAGGTCTCTTGCTTCCATTTTATAATATAAATCTCCAAATACTCCAACGGTGGTATGCCACCCCCTGAATCGTGGCTAAGAGTCCTTGCACACGTGGCCTCTGCCAGGCCCTGTCTTAAACACTTCATGTGCATTACCTCACTCTATCCTGTGCAGTGGGCACCACTGTTATCTCTTTAAAACAGATGAGGAAACCAAGGCAGAGTGTTACCCTAATGCTGAACCAGGTACCTCCCTCTCTCCCTTCCTCTCTTTCTCCCTGCTTGCTGCTTCCACAACACTTCATACACATCCCTTTGTAACATTAGCATATAACTAACAGTGAGCACATGGCTCATGCCAGAGCCCTTCCAAGCATTTGTTACAGATTAACTCCTCGTCCTCACATCGAGCCTATGAAGTCGATATTTCTGTTATCTCATTTTATAGATGAGGAAACTGAGGTTCATAGACGTCGAGCACCTAGCCCCAGCTCACAGAGCTGGCAAGTGGTGGAGGGCAGATTCTAACCAGGCTGTGAGACTCACGACCCCAAAGCTTGGTGGCATCACCAGGCTGCAAGTGACCTGAGGGCAGGGATTGTGTTTTTTCCATCTCTGTGGCTTTGTACTGAGCACAAAATAGGTGATGGAAAGTTGCTTCATGAACTGAGTTAATCAAGGATCATGGAAATGGAGCGTTTCTTTCATCCGATGGCTAAGGTGTCTTGCCAGGGTGAAAGTGTGAAACCTTTGCATATGCTAAAAATTTGTGTGAGGTGTGCAACTTCTTAGGTAAAACAAAACACAAAACCAGTCGCTTTGTTATTCAAGCTGGAGTCTAACACCGAGGAGGGAGAGGTTAGCAGGCTGCCAACACCTC